GTGATATTATAGAGTATAGGATTCATTATTATTATATGTGTGTATGTATTGTGTATGTGCTTTGTCCAGTAAATGTATCCCAATTTGCTGGTGTTTGCCCTTGTCCTAGTGAGGCTTCCCAGGAGGTAGTAAAGAAGGAGAGAGAGAGAGAAAGAACCAAGAACCACTGCTGTGGACAGGGTAGGAGGTAATACTAATAAGCCAAAAGGGATCGAGGAGATCATATTACCTGAGGAGAGAGTGGGGAGTCACAGCGGCTCGAGTGGGTGTGTGCACGTGACAACGAGGCTAAGCGTTGGAGCCGCATCCCCTAAACGTGTGACATTGAGCCCCTCTCCAAGAGCCAGAAGTGCCAAGGGTGATCTCCTAGTATAAGCACTCTACCGAGTTGTGGGTTGGGTTGTCCATAGAGAAGGATCAACGACGACAACAACTAACCCACAGTCTATAAATGCAGCTTTACTACTAGTAGCCCAATTTAAAACAGTCTTCGAACATAGTAAGAAAAGAGAATAGTGTTACTGAGCTCCAGCTCTTGTGCCCATCTTAGTTAACTATTACAACTTCGCTAATAATATATCAATTCTCCCTGAGATTTAAACCTACTATGTTTCGGATGCAGAATATCAGATAAAGTTGGTAACCGAGTTCTAGCTCCTGTCCCCCACCTTAGTCCCCTCTCATATCTTCGTTAATAATTTCGACCAATTTCCCTGATATTTAAAACATAGCTATTTCAGACACAGTAAAATAGATCAAAGCAACTACTGAGCTCCAGCTCTTGTTCTCCGACTTACTTTACTCCCATAACTCCGTTATTAATTGATCAAGTTCCATGAAATTTAAATCAGCTGTATTTCAGACATAGTAAAATACAACACTTTAGTTACCGAGCTCCAGCTCCTGTCTCCACCTTAGTCCCACTCACAACTCCGCTGTTATCCAATCAATTGCCTTGATATTTAAAACGTAGCTATTTCAGATGTAGTAAATATAAGTTAAACACAGTTACCGAACTCCAGCTCTTGTTCCCCCGCCTTAGTTCGCTCCTGTAAGTTAATTATTATCAGTCTAAATCCCCTGAGATTTAAAAACTACTACATTTCAGATCCTGTAAAATATATCAAACGCAATTACCAAGTTCCAACTTCTGTCCTCCACCTTAGTTCAACTTTCATTAAACTTAGTATTTCAGATCAGACCCTTCTCCAGTCTATCACCTTATCAAAGTACAGCTAACCTCACCTTCAATACTCTTGTTTACTTACCTGTGTAAATAATCACTCACCTGTTAATTATCACATGGTCATAACACACACCTTATCGCCCCTCCATGCCCCCACCATGCTTAACTTAGTTTATGTAACTTAGTTTATGTAAGTTACATTGGGTGGGGGAGGTTAGGTAAATTGGGCTAGGTAAGTTACATTAGGATAGGTTAACTCAGGTAAGTTAGATTAGGTAAGCATGGGCAAGTTGGGTTGGGTAGATAAGTTATGATTAGGGTAGGCTAGTACAGGTAAGTCAGGTTAGGTAGGGTTGTGCAGTGTTGTTCAGAGAACAGTTTTAAGATAAAGTGGCTAAAAATATATATTTTATTAGAATAGTTAATAAATGGAAAATGTAAGTTTGTTACAAAAAGTTGTACTAGATACTTAAAGAATTGTGTTTTTGAGACAGAGTTATTATAAACGGAGATATGAAACATAGTAAAATGTAGATAACATGCTGGTCATAGTATCTTTGTATTAAGTTGCTAGAACGTTTTACTTATTTTTTACATGACGGAAAAAAATATTAGTACAAAAAGCTATACATGTTTAGTTTGATATAATACTTAAAGTTGTTTTACGACTACATAATGCTGTGTATAAGTAAGTTTAGTACAAACTTTAGTTTACACATGTTACAGAAGAGAAGTTATTGACTATTTATTTATTGAATGAAGAACAATGTTTATTACTGAGTGTTATTTAATTCTTGAAGAGTAATCTTGATGTTTAAGAGATTATCTTAGATGACCCTGAGAATAGCACTGATGGATCCGAGATTAACTTTAAGGTCTCTGAGATTATCTTTGATGGGTCTGGGAGTATTCTTTTATGTAAATACACTTCATACACTTCAGAGAGAGTATTCTTAATGTCTCTGAGAGTGTCATTCGAGAATAAATATGGTATGAGAGTATCATTTGACAATAAAGTCATTTGACATTTGACATTTGACAAAATATCATTTGACATTTGACAGACAATAAAGATGTCTTAGAAAGTACAAATGTTAATTAATTGATCTTGGAATGTATTATTACTGTCTTGGAGAGTTTCTTTAAAGCATGAAGATGTCTTGGGAGAATAACTTTGATGCTTGAAGATGTCTTGGAGAATAACTTTGATGCTTGAAGATGTCTTAGAGAATAACTTTGATGACTCTGAGTGTAACCTTAAATACTATGAGAAATAAATTTGATGACTCGAATAGTATTTTTTGTTGTCTTTGAATGTCTTTTGATAACATAAATAGTATTTTTTGTTGTCTTTGAGGGTGTTATTGATATCTTTATGAGTATCTTTTGTATATTTTTCGTACTTAACGAATTATAATGTTAGATATGAATAGTGTTGAAAGTTTCCTTTGGCTATTTTCAGTTGAGAGAAGAGTTATTCTGGTTAAAAATTATGAAAAGATGATGAAAGTGAATATTTTCACTTTACTGATTAATAATTTTATTTAAGAAAGGGCAAAAAAGAATGTCTTGGTAAATTTGTTACTTATAAAAGTGCAAATATGTTTAAAAACAATTCTGGTAAGAAATAATAAGTTGATAAAGAATTACTTTGATATAATTGATTGCAAGTAAACTTCGGTAGATGACTAAAGAAATTGTAACGAAATATTTGAAGCAAAAATAAATTTAGCTTTATTTGTTGGGGAAGAGTAATGCTGTTGATAATATCTGACGAGGAACTAGCTACTGAATGACAGAAACAAATGTATGTTTGATTTTAAAGAACATGTAAGAGAATGCAATGAACACAGTGAACATGCAGGGGGAATATGAATTGAACTTGCAGAGAACGTGAAAATATGAAGATAATGTATAGTGTATACAAAGAATGAACAACCAACTTGTGAAGAACATTCTGAGAATAGGTATAAGAACATGGCAAAGAACACAGAGAACATGAGGGAAATTTGTAGAGAACATGAAAGAGAATGCGATAAACACAGTGAATATGCAGGAAATATGAATAATGTGTAACAAGTTGTAAGGAGAACATGCTGTGAACATTTGCAGAACATGAAGAGAACATGAAATTATGGAATGACTATGAAGGGGAGCTGGTGGTTAGAGGGGAAGATAAGGGAGGGGAGGGGCAATAAGGTGTGTGTTATGACCATGTGATAATTAACAAATGAGTAATTATTAACACAGGTAAGTAAACAAGAGTATTGAAGGTGAGGTTATCTGTTCTTTGATAAGGTAATAGACTGGGGAAGGATCTTTATCTGAAATACCAAGTTTAATGAAAGTTGAACTAAGGTGGAGGACGGAACTTGGAACTTGGTAATTGCTTTTGATTTATTTTACAGGACCTGAAATGTAGTGTTTTTTTTTAAATCTCAAGAGATTTGTACTGATAATAATTAACTTACAGGAGCAACCCAAGGCGGGGGACAGGAGTTGGAGCTCAGAAACTAAATTTTTGTATTTTACTATCTTTGAAATACAGTGGTTTTAATTTTCAGGGAACCTAATCGGTTAATAACGGAGTTGTATGAGTGAAGTAAGGCGGGGGTTAAGAGCCGGAGGTCGGTAATTTCTTTGAAGTATTTGACTATATCTGAAATACCTTCGTTTTAAATCTCAGGGAAATTTATCAAGTATTATCGAGGAGATGAGAGGGGGCTTAGGTGGGGGACAGGAGCTAGAACTCGATTACTGACTTGATCTGATTTTCTGCATCCGAAATATAGCGGATTTAAGTCTCATGGGATTTATTAATTTCAGGTAATAATTGATTACAGGTAATTTGATTAACGAAGTTGTAATAGTAAACTAAGAAGGGGCACAAGAGCTGGAGCTCAGTAACACTATTTTCTTACAACCAAGTATAACTGTTTTAAATTGGGCTACTAGTAGCAAAACTACACTTATAATAGTATAGAGCTGGATCCAAGAACTAACTTCTGATATTGTTATTTACTTTTTAAAACAGTATCTTAAGTCCGTAGAGTTTATTTTCCCCCATAAGATTTCTTTAAGACTGCAGGTGTAAGTAAAACTCTGAAAAATAAGTACAACTAGGTCCAAGAACTAACATGGAATGGACTTTTTAATAATATCTGCTTTAGTCTGCGGAGTTTATTTGTCTCTGATGAACTCTTTAATACTGCAGTGAGGAATAAAACTCCCGGTCTTAAACTGGTCTGTGACAAATTTTGGTCTTAAACTGATCTCTTGACAAAAATCGGTCTTAAACTGGTCTCTGAAAAAATTCGGTCTTAAATTGGTCTCTGATTTTTTTTTCTTAAACTGGCCTGAAATTTTTTTAACCCCCCCCCCCCATAAAAATCTTTTAAGACCAGAACGAGTACTTTTGCCATGAATTTCTCTCATAAGAACTCTTTTACACCAGAGGGAGCACTTTTGAAGAAAAACTCCTATGATCGTATTATCTCTGAAATATTTCCCTAATGGTTACTTTCCAGTGGTACGTACACACATTCACACACTCTGACTAATTTTGAAAAAAACATTTGAAAACATATCATAACTGGGGCAAAAAAAAATAAACGTTATGGCTAAGATGTCTATTATCTGAACCAAACCAAAAGTCATCACTAAGATGTCCATTTTCTGGGATAAACAAAAAGTACACGCTAAGATGTCCATATTCAAACAAAAAGGTCTTGCTAAACCTTACATCCCACTAGCCACTACCAGCGTGGGGACACCTGAAGGAGGACGAGGAACACTACTAGAGTGGGACACTCACTTCGTACAGAGGCTCCAGGGGCCCTCGACCCAGGTGACGCAGGACTGCAGTTCACAAGGCTGCACCTCGAGCGGTCTGGTGTCCGAGAGACACCGAGCGCCACCGACGCACTTTACTGACCGCACTCGCTCCCCGAGGTCACATGATGAGGAACACTCGCCCCACGCACCCACCACCCACTCCCCACACACCTCCTGCAGGAGACACCTCACAAATTATCACAACTCAGAGGGATAAATATTAATGGTTATAAAATCATGATATAAAAAACACACAGAATTATTTAATTTTCAGGATGGCCATGAAACGCCTTATAAAAGTCCTCAAATATAAGTGAATTGATACAGCTTGACACTGACTGTGTTGCAAGGTTGCAGGTTTGCAGGAGGGATGCTGCACAGTTGTGGATCGACGAGGCTGTTGCTTGCGCGCTCCAGACATCTGATGCTCCGCCGCTGTACACCACCGCCACACTCCGCGCTGCACTGCATGTACACACATACACACACACGTCAGTTTGTGTACACACACACACACACACACACACACACACACACACACACACACACACACACACAACTGCTTAATATACAACAAAATAACAGAAGAGGTCACATTCACATACAGCAAGAAGCAAAACCCAACTTAGTTGCATATACTTACTGGGTTGTTTTTATAGGTGTCTCAAGCACCTTAATACAACAACTCTTGCACTGATGTGGTTAATAGGCAATAATAATTTACTATATAATGTGTAATTTTGTGATATATTCAACCTAAAGCTATTAGAGGTACCAAGCTTTCTAAAGTAAAATGTGCCTCTTATTAGGAACACACACACACACACACACACACACACACACACACACACACACACACACACACACACACACACACACACACACACACACATACATACAAGGTAGCTTGTATACATGGCCTTAGAGACCAACTTTAACATGATATGGATTATTCTTACCTGTGACCAGAGGCTGGCGTCCCACTCGTAGTCCGGGACGATGTAGTCCAAGCTGGTATCCACTGAGGTCTTGCTGGCGGCCTTTTTCGCTGCTTGCTCTTCAGCCAGCTCGTACAGGACGTCGACAGCCTTGGCTCCGCTATGGAGGAGGACCTTCTTTCTGGTCTTCTTCCCTTCACTCTTCGGAGGAAGTTCAACAATCTCAATCACCTCAAAATCATCGACATTGATTTTATCCTCGATGATTCCATCCGGTCGTTGATCGTCATCTTCTTTGACAGGTTCTTCCACCTCTGTGAGCTGCTCTCTCGCGGAAGGTTCCTCTGTGGAAAGTAAGCCTTCACTTGGTCCTAGTGTCCCACCCAAAGACGTAGTCGAAGTTGATATTGTAGCTCGGGTACCATGGGGCGACTGGGGATCTCTCTTCGTTTCCTCATCAGACAACTTGTTCTCTGACGAAGAGATGTCATTTATGGCCATTTCATCCTTCAGCTTAGAGTTAACGTCAACTTCATTGAAAGTTTCAAGAACTTGGACATTTTCATGATCAATTTCTGGATGACTTTCTGATATAGTGTAACTCAACGTATCCTGAGTCTTGGTGCCTTCCGACGAGGCTTCAATTGTTATTGTATTATCGTTCTGATTATCTTCTGTATCATTTCCATTACTAGTAGACTTAAGATTTTTCATGGCAGCACCTGTTGTATTTCTGCTTTGAACTTCTTTATTGTCCTGTTGGTCATCTTGTACTCTGTCTTCAAAACTTGATTCGTTCTTTGGGAAAGTATCCTTCTCGGATAAGTTCGTTTGAAGCAGCGGAACCATCTCTCTGGTCAAGACTGGGGTCTCGGACTCGGCTTTTGTGGGCGTCTCAGGGATACTGAAGTTTCTGACCGTTAAAGTGGTGGAGAAAGGCACAGTGGTTGAAGGAATCCCTGTAGTAGTCTCTGATTGTGTCTTCTCTGTCAAATTCGGTGAAGAAACTCCAATGGCTGAAGTGGTCTTTTCTATGCTTGTTTCTTCCACAAGATGAACTGAAGGCATCGTCGGTGCTGCATTCACAACATTGCCTGAGGAGACTGTGGTTTCTTCATCCCATGTGGTCAATTGTGTCGTGGTTGGTTTTGGGGTGGTAGCTGCTACCTCAGCTGCTGTGGTCCTTGATGCTGTTGTGGTTGATTCTGGGGTTGTAGGCCAGATGATAGACGACGCTGTGGTAGAATCAGCTGTGATTTTTGGTGTAAACAGAGGTGGATCAGCTGCAGCTGAATCAGCGGTGTTGCTGCTCTTGTAGGACTTGGGTGTGGTAGAAACAGTGAGGATGGAATGGCTGTTGTGAATTGTAGAGTTAGTAAGGACATAGGTTGTGGTGGGGATAGCAGGGAGCGTTGAGGTGTGTGGTGTGGTGAAGATGGTGGGGGGAGAACTACCTCGAGTACCGGCGGAGTACACACCACCCGAAATGCTGCCAGTTGTGGTGAAGGCGTCAGCTGAAGTACTCATCGTAGCAGCTGTGGTGGTGTTGGCGGCAATGGTCGCCGTAGGAGCAGTGATGAAGGTGTCAGATGTAGTGGTTGTCGGAGCAGATGTGGTGGAGGTGTCAGCTGCAGTGGTCATTATAGGTGTGGTGGAGGTGTCAGCTGCAGTGGTCATTATAGGTGTGGTGGAGGTGTCAGCTGCAGTGGTCATTATAGGTGTGGTGGAGGTGTCAGCTGCAGTGGTCATTATAGGTGTGGTGGAGGTGTCAGCTGCAGTGGTCATTATAGGTGTGGTGGAGGTGTCAGCTGCAGTGGTCATTATAGGTGTGGTGGAGGTGTCAGCTGCAGTGGTCATTATAGGTGTGGTGGTGTCAGCTGCAGTGGTCATTATAGGTGTGGTGGAGGTGTCAGCTGCAGTGTTCATTATAGGTGTTGTGGAGGTGTCAGCTGCAGTGGTAGTCACAGGTGGAGTGGAGGTGTCAGCTGCAGGGGTCGTTGAAGCAGGTGTAGTGGAGGTGTCAGCTGCAGGGGTCGTCGAAGCAGGAGTGGTGGAGGTGTCAGCTGCAGGGGTCGTCGAAGCAGGTGTAGTGGAGGTGTCAGCTGCAGGGGTCGTCGAAGCAGGGGTGGTGGAGGTGTCAGCTGCAGGGGTCGTCGAAGGTGAAGTGGTGGTGTCAGCTGCAGGGGTCGTCGAAGCAGGTGTAGTGGAGGTGTCAGCTGCAGGGGTCGTCGAAGCAGGAGTGATGGAGGTGTCAGCTGCAGGAGTCGTCGAAGCAGGTGTAGTGGAGGTGTCAGCTGCAGGGGTCGTCGAAGCAGGTGTAGTGGAGGTGTCAGCTGCAGGGGTCGTCGAAACAGGTGTAGTGGATGTGTCAGCTACAGGGGTCGTCGAAGGTGTAGTGGAGGTGTCAGCTACAGGGGTCGTCGAAGCAGGAGAGGTGGAGGTGTCAGCTGCAGGGGTCGTCGAAGCACGGGTGGTGGAGGTGTCAGCTGCAGGGGTCGTCGAAGCACGGGTGGTGGAGGTGTCAGCTGCAGGGGTCGTCGAAGCAGGAGAGGTGGAGGTGTCAGCTGCAGGGGTCGTCGAAGCAGGGGTGGTGGAGGTGTCAGCTGCAGGGGTCGTCGAAGGTGAAGTGGTGGAGATGTCAGCTACAGGGGTCGTCGAAGCAGGAGAGGTGGAGGTGTCAGCTGCAGGGGTCGTCGAAACAGGGGTGGTGGAGGTGTCAGCTGCAGGGGTCGTCGAAGCAGGGGTGGTGGAGGTGTCAGCTGCAGGGGTCGTCGAAGCAGGAGAGGTGGAGGTGTCAGCTGCAGGGGTCGTCGAAGGTGTAGTGGAGATGTCAGCTGCAGGGGTCGTCGACAAGAGTGTATCCATGAGAACGTCGTCAATCTCGAGGAGTGTGTCATCACTGAGACAGTCGCCAACACACTCCTGTACACTCTTGGGTTCGTCAGCATCCCGGCAGGCGAGGCCGCCCTCACACGCCACGTCGCGGAGCTGCACTCCCTCACCACAAGGCGCAGAACACTGCCAAGTGCCCACCAAAACTAATTGAGACAACTTAATAACTCTAACACTTTAGTATAGTTCTGAATGGTTAATGGCGCCAACACTTGACCAGAGGCAAAAACTTTAGGTAACCTAGCAAGCTGTGTACTGAACATTTCGTGTTCACTCACTGAACTCAGATTAGAAACCCAACCCCAACAATATTGTTCATACGAACTTCCCCGATCGAAATCAGGTTCCTGTTTGATGAGCTGTATGTTGAAAAGGAGTTTGATCCAGGCTTGCCTGCCAGTCAGTTAATGCCCATAACAAAAGCTGTGCAAATTAAAAATGAATTATATTTAGTCTATGTCTCAAATTTTAAATTGGATTTGTCTAATTTTCCTTTTTTTGTCAATATATGTAATTTCTTTTAATTGTAAACAATACGTTTTTGCAGTGTCTTAAAGCATAGTTGGCCTTCTCATCTATATAAATAAAAATGGAAATGTTCGTTTGTTCAAAGTCGCTAATCTCCGAAAGTTCTTCACCGATTGCTTTGAAATTTTCACACAACGTTCCATTCGCACCCGAGCAGGTTTTTATATACATATTATATAGATGTCACGTCTGAGACGGTAAAAAAAAAAACATGCTTTTTCTGAAAAACTGTGTTTTTCATGTTTTTCACATGAGGGAAATCTTCGAAACCTCTTTACCGATTGCTTTGAAACTTTGACACAACGTTGCATTTGAGTAGGTGCGTCTTTTTTATATATATCTACTATATACATGCCTCACCTGTGACAGGAATAAAAATAATATTTTTTTTGAAAAACAGCGCCATCTTTTGGACATAATGGCAACACACACTGTAATCTCCGGAAGTTCTTCACCAATTGCTTTGAAATTCTGACACAACGTTGCATTCGAATAGACGCATCGTTTTATACACCTACTATATTGATGCCACCCCTGTGACAGGTAAAAACATGCATTTTTGTAAAACAGTTCCATCTGTTGCACATAATAGCAACATGCACGCTATACTAAATATATCACAAATTCCATTTCAATATTTCCGATTTCATTGATAAAGTTTATTTTCATAGATTTCGATTTATTTGATTTTTTTAATTAATTTTTTTGTGTGACATTGTGTTGGAATTGAGCTGTGTTGTTTACCATACCGTTCATTTTGTAAGTATAAGTATAGATGCCACACCTGTGACAGGTAAAACGATGCCTTTCTTGAAAAACAGTGCCATATGTTGCATGTAAGAGCAACACACATGCTATATTAGATATGTTACAATACCATTTCAATGTTTCTGATTGCATTGATAAATTGAATTTTCCTAGATTTTAATTTATTTTCATTTTGATTTAATTATTTTGTGTGAATTGCATTAGAATTGAGCTGTGTTGTTTACCAGACCATTTATTTCGTGAGAATAGTATATTTTTATATTTTTCATATTTTAATTTCATTTTTTAACTGTTTTTCTTATATTTCAATGATGGGAACATCAGACCATGTGGGTAGGCATCGGACGAGCGAGTGGGGAATGGTGGGGATGACGAGGGGACGGAAGTGAGAGATGGTGCGGAGGACAAGGGGACAAGAGAGGGGGTAATGGCGGGGAAGGACGAGGGGACTGGAGAGTTTGGGATGGTGGGGGACGAGGGGATGGGGGAATGGAGACTGGTGGGGATGACAAAGGGACTGGGGAGTGGGGCATGGTGGGAAGGAAGAGGGGATGGTGGAGTGGGGAATGGTTGGGAGGCCGAGGAGACGGGTGATGGGGTAATGGTGGAGAGGACTGGGGGACAGGCAAGGTAGCTGTGAGCCACAGCAACGCGTGGCCGGGTTCTGCTAGTCTATATAAATAAAAATGTAAATGTTCGTTTGTTCAAAATCGTTAATCTCAGAAAGTTCTTCACCGATTGCTTTGAAATTCTCACACAACCTTCCATTCACATTCGCGCGGGTTTTTATATACATACTATATAGATGTCACGTCTGTAACAGGAAAAAACTGCTATTTTTGAAAAACTGTGTTTTTCATGTGAGGTAAATCTTCAAAACCTCTTTACCAATTGCTTTGAAATTATGTCACAACGTTGCATTCACATAGGCGCGTGTTATAGATATACCTATTATATGGATATAATATACCTATTATATGACACCTAAGACAGGGCAAAAATGCATTTTTTGAAAAACAGCGCCATCTGTTGGACGTAAGGACAAAACACGCTGTAATCTCTGAAAGTTCTTCACTGATTGCTTTGAAATTTTGACACAACGTTCCATTCGAATACGTGCGTGTTTTTTTATACTGACTGTGTAGATGCCACACCTGTGATAGGTAAAAACCATGCGTCTTGTGAAAAACAGCGCCATCTGTTGCACGTAATAGCAACAAATGCATTACATAATATGTTACAATTCCATTTCAATGTTTCCGATTGCCTTGACAATTTGAATTTTCATAGATTTCGATTTATTTTAATTTTGATTTAATTATTTTGAGTGACATTGCATTGGAATTGAGCTGTGATTTTTTACCGTACCGTTAATTTTGTGAGTACAGTTTATTTGTTTATTTTATCATTGTTTTTCATTTCGATTTTTTTAGAGGTTTTTCTTAAATTTCAGTGATGGGAACATTAGATCATTTGGGAATGCATCAGACGAGGGAGTGGGGATTGGTGCGGAGGACGAAGGAACGGAAATGGGGGATGGTGGGGAGGACCAGGGGACTGGGAAAGGGGGTAATGGTGGGGAGGACGAGGGGACGTGGGAGTTGGGGACAAGGGGACAGGGGATTGGAGATTGGTGGGGAGGACCAGGGGACAGGGGATTGGGGGAAGATGGGATGGTGGAGGGGGGTAGGACGAAGGAACAGTGGAGGGGGGAATGGTTAGGAGGACGAGAGGACGGTGGAGTGGGGAATGGTGGGGAGGACAAAGGTATGGGGAGGGGGAATAAGTGGGGAGGACGAGGGAACGGGGGAGTGGGGATGGTTGGGATGACGAAGGGACGGGGGAGTGGGGAATGGTGGGGAGGACTGGGAGACTAATGAATGGAGGGGAGATAATGGTGGGGAGGACTCAACAACACATGTGTATTGCTGAGCCACAGCAACGTGTGGCCAGGTACAGTTAGTCTATATAAATAAAAATGTAAATATTTATTCAAAATTGCTAATCTCCGAAAGTTCTTTGCTGATTTCTTTGAAATTTTCACACAACGTTCCATTCACATCCGAGCAGAGTTTTATATACTTATTATGTAGATGTCACATCTGTGACGGAAAAAATGTGTCCTTTAAAAAAACTGTGCTTTTCATGTGTATTCCATGTGAGGGAAATCTTCGAAACCTCTTGACCAATTGCTTTGAAATTTTGACACAATGTTTCATTTAAATAGGTGCGTGTTTTTATATACCTACTATATACATGCCTCACCTGTGACGGGAAAACTTAAAAAAAAACAGCGCCATCTGTTGGACATAAGTGCAACACACACTGTAATCTCCGAGAGTTCTACACTGATTGCTTTCAAATTTTGACACAACATTCCATTCGAATACGCGTGTGTTTCAATACATGAAAAACAGGCTGTATTTAATATGATACGATTATATTTCACTGTTTCCGCTTGCATTGATAAATTGAATTTTCATAGATTTCGATTTATTTTCATTTTATTTAATTATTTTGTGTGACACTGCGATGGAATTGAGCTGCGTTTTAACCATACCATTCATTTCATAAGTATATATACATATAGATGCCACACCTGTGACAGGTAAAAACATTGTATTTTTAAGAAACAGCTCCATCTGTTGCACATAAGAGCAACACACGCTATACTAAATATGTTACGATTCCATTTCAATGTTTCCAATTGCAAAGACGGATAGAATTTTCATAGATTTTTATTTCTTTTTATTTTGATTTAATTGTTTAGTGTGACATTGCATTGGAATTGAGCTGTGTTGTTTATCATATCGTTCATTTCGTAAGTATAAGTACAGATGCCACACCTGTGACAGGTAAACAATGTTTTTTTTTAAAAACAGTGCCATCTGTTGCACACAGAAGCAACACGTGCTATACTAAATATGTTATGATTCCATTTCAATGTTTCTGATTTCATTGATAAATTGAATTTTCATAAATTTCAATTTATTTTCATTTTGATTTAATTATTTTGTGTGACATTGCATTGAAATTGAGCTATGTTGTTTACCATACCATTCATTTCGTAAATATAGTTTATTTTTTATTTTTTCCTTTTTCTTATTTCTTTTTTTAACTGTTATTCTTATATTTCAGGGATGGGAACATCAGCCCTGGAAACACAAACCGAAACTGACCCTATTTTCCACTTGTTACAACTTGTAATAAAGTTGTTACATCTTGGCTTAACGTGTTTTTGACATATTAGAACGTTGTTACAACTTGTTATATTGGTTCTTATAACTTGTTAGGAGGTGTTAAATCTTGTTCGAACGTTGTGGCAACATTGTAGTTTCGCTGTATGTTTGGCGGGAGATCATTTGATGTTCCCAATTTTTTTATAGAAACATCAGATCATTTGGAAATGCATCGGACGAGGGAGTGGGAAATGGTGGGGAGGACGAGGGGACCTGAGTGGGGGATGGTGGGGAGGACAAGGGGACGGGGGAGTTGAGGACGAGGGGACAGGGGAATGGAGAATGATGGGGGAAGGCATTGGGACAGGGGAGCGGGGGATGGTGAAGAGGTTGAGGGGACGGAGAAGGGGGGGGGGAATGGTAGGGAAGACGAGAGGACGGGGAAGAGGGAGATGGTGGGGAGGACAAAGGGATGGAGGAGGGGGGGGGGGGATGGTGAAGAGGACGAGGAACAAGGGAACGGTGGTAGTGGTTAATGGTTGGGAGGACAAGGGGATGGGGGAGTGAGGAATTTTTGGGAGGACGAGTGGACAGTGAAGGGGGGAATGGTGGGGACGAATGGGAGACAGCTGAAGGTTACTGCGGCTCAGC